AAGCTTCATACACGGCCTTTCGAAAAAAGAACTGTGCCGGACGCACGAAGCTTTCTACTTTCCAGCACAACTTTCATTTTATCGCTAGGCCTGCTATTCGAAAAATTTCCCCGTTGTGATCATAAAAAACCACTCCCCACGGCCCGAAAAATCAACCCCTCCGACGCCAGAAAATCTCCAGTTGGCTTTAAGACATTGGTATGCTTCTAAAACGCATGTTTTTGCCAAGGATACCAGGAAATAGTTCATTGGACGCCAATTGGCATCACACCTTTCGTACCTTCCGTAGTTGTACCTTCCCAATACCTCTGCATGCGACATGCATAGCGCTTCACGTAGAGGTATTGGGAAGGTACAACTTCTAGAAGGCTCGGAAGTGTATTTTCATCTGTTCACTAGTTCATGGCGGATATTCATTGGCGCGGGGGTGGTGTAGTGACAAGTGGCGCGCTTACCACTCGCGCGATGCCGGGTTCAAATCCCGGGTCGACTTTCGCCTAGGGCCAACCAAGCCTTCTACCCTCCGGGGACGGTAAGATGGTACCAGATTCGCCTGGGAGGATAAAACACTGACTTGTACATCGGCTGGCCACCGCAAGTCATTGTATAGGCCACATCGCATTCAATAAGCCACTGCGATTCTGAATGGAAGTAGAATGCGTGCATCCCACAAAGGGTTGATCAACGGCGGAGACTTTATCCTTTATCTTTTAATATTAATTCATGACGTCGTTGTGGGAGGCCATCATATTCCCTGTCATCGCCCGTTCCCCATTTCTGCGCTGGCAGGTTGCTTCTGTCTTGTGTGGGTCTCTTCAGAGGTCCTTCACATGGATAAGTCTTTCATCATTGAAGCTGAACGACAGCTGGGTATCGCTGCACCCTCACTTCAGAAAGGTCCCCGCGCTTACGACCCCCCTTCCTCGAGGTCAAATACGACCCTCCTTGTGCTGATGAACACACGATGGCGTGCCCTGGATGGGAGGGTAGAGTGGCCCCATTGGCGTTATGGATAGTGCTCTAGCCCGGTGAGCGGCAGATGCGGTGATGCCATACATACCACCCCTGTCGCGATGCGACATTGCATTGCCGTAGTGTGAGCGCTCAATCATTTACCGCTGCGCGAAGACTGAGCCTCTCTAAGTCAACTCGTTGGAGTTTTTTTTTCAGGTTCTTGCATCTTTAACAATTGCTATGTTGGTCAATTGGAATTCAGTGGACGAAGTATTTTGTGGTAAAGCTTCCTGAGACGGCTTACTGATTTACGTTAACACTGTGATTCTGTTTTTACTCCGGAGGCCTCTATGTTGCAATGTGATTCCAGTGAATCGAATCCAAGTCGATATTACCAACTACATGCTGACAGCGGCGAACTGTGTCTCTCTGGTCTGGCTTATCATTATCTATAAAAAGAATAAGATCTACTCGAAAAAGTGGGATTTACCGTCTCATAAGCAGTATATCTTTAGTGATTGCATGTTTTTTACGAGAAGACCACACAAGGATGCTGATGAATAACACTGCATTTCAGGATAGACATGGGGCTGTCGAATCGCTATCAGATCCAAGAGAACGTTTCAAGCACTCGCTTGACGATTGTCCTCGGATTTACGCAGCTATTGTTTTTCGCAGCTCATTTGGCCATTAATATGACCAGACGAACATTCTTCACCATTATGAACCGTGAACTTTACAGGATTCTCGAAAGCGTGGGCTATGTAAGTTTTCGAAAGTGTTCATCTGTGTTGCAAGAAAATGTAGCAGAAGTGGGAATAGCTTTGAAATAATTCGCAGCGAATTACTGGTGGATAACTGGTTGATATGTTCATATCTGGGCTGCACTGAATGTCGTGTGACACGTCTGACACTTGAGGGTATTTGATTTCGCTGCTTTCAGTAATGCCACTATCCCACATTTACTACCCCGAAAACCCGATCTTCTTTCGGATGAAGCTCTGCCCGTAGATAGTATGCGGTGCCCCGATCATGAATACGACATTCACTTTTGCTGCTAGAGCTATTGGGCGCATGAAAATGCTCACGAAAATCGATGCAATCTCGTACATATTTGGGGGTCACTTGGCACCCCGATCACGAGTATTACATTTGTTTCTGATGCTCGCATCAATCAGCAACACCACCTCTTTCAACAAAATCTATGAAAACTCGCATAAGAGGGCTAAATGATATCCTGTTTCCGAACGGCACCAGCGCAATTAGCGCTCTGTTAATTGTGAGGTGGGCCTGGGAGGAGGAGTGATTCCCTCCCCACTCAGCCTCAGCACACCACAGATGATTGATCGAAGTCCCCAAATAAGCGCGCACCGAGAACCAAAACGAATCTCATCCGTGATGAGGTTATTAAACACTCCCGTATACAAGTTTTACGGGTTTTTTTTGTGAGGAAAATTTATGAGGCTGCGGCCCCAAATAGCGCCAGCACGGACAGTGAATATCATGTTTGTGATCAGGGTACCGAATGACCTCTGCGGGCGAAGTTTCAGCAAAAAAAATTGAGTATCCGCAGTACTGATAGTGGACTGTGGATTCAATAGCTCATGCAATAAGCTTTTTGAACTTGTTTTAGAGGAAACTGTTATATCCTTTTGCCAGAGGAAAGTCAAAAAGTAGTAGTAGTTTGTGAAAAACAGCAGTTGCCGTCACTCAATCGTCTACCAAATTCCTTTAGACGCCTTGTACAATATGTACAACCAATGATAAGATTTTCCACGAAATGCATACAAAATAACTGGACTTTAATGTAATTCCACAACTTCTGCATAGAAAAATGAAAGTAGTAATGATTCATGGAGTGTATTTAAGGGCAAACCAGCTAACAGGGCATTGTAAGGAGCATTTGTGAGAAACTGGAATCACCGCAGGGTGAGATCCATTTCGCGAACAATGGAATCGGTACAATCATACAGGAGCTCTTGGTTCAATATGCATCACTTAGTCAAATTTCGTTATTAATGGTAGTTCGTGTACGTAGTGTCTCGCAACAGAATAACCTATAATACTCAAATTTATTGTCATCTTACGGCCAGCTACACCAAGTTTGCTTCTTCCTACACATAACTTGACCCCTCGATTACTTGACTCTAAATGATCATTACTTGATTGAGGCCTGCGTCATAGGAACTGTGTTCAGAGCACAGACCTAAGGACGACAGAATCTGAGATTGTTTGAAAGGACGGAAAGACGGCGACAACCGTCATCACCTCTCACCAACTCCCCCCGTCTAGGTCTCCGGATAAACAAAATAACCGTAAACACTGTAGGCGGAACTCAAGGAATGTCACTAAGAAGGGTTTACGGCACTCCTCCTCTTACAGGTCTAGGCAAAAATAAGAGCGACATGAACATCGCTCATGATGTCAGTCCATGTTCTCCGCACACAAGCTCCACAAGAATTATTTTGTCCGCCCGAAAAGGACGCGGAGGAAACTGGATTCATCTCTTCATAGCAGTAGGAGTTCGCATGAAGAGTTTTTCATATGTCCCCTCAAGCAGGCTTGCGAACAAATTAAGCTTAATGATTTAGTGCTAACGAGCAAATTCTCTACTCTAATATTTTTGTAACATGAATAAGAACATGAATAGGAATATGGATCATGAATATAATGGATCACATTAGATGAGGATAAACTAGAAAAATATAGCTTATTTTGTACGTCTTCTCTCCTAATTGTTTCTTTTCAGCTTCTCACTTACTACACTCTCATACTTCCGATTGTCATGTACATATATATAAAACGAGATATCCACAACAAGATCACTACACTACAAGATAATATAAACCAAAACTCCTCAAAAGGTGCAGAAGGAGCGAAACTCTACTTCAGCATGTATGGGAAACAGTGGTGATACCATGTGTCTTAGCAATAAAATTTTTCCAGTTTCTGTGTCTTTGGCATCAGACAGCAAGTAGGAAGGAGCACTCTCTGCGATAAACATAACAATTCACGTCAAAGGCTTTGACAAGAGGTGAAGGTCATCCTTCAGTAGGGAGCGAAACCTGGGCATGCTCTCCGTCACTTCATGAGAGTCGGATCATGTGAATCAATTGACGTGAAAGACTCCTTGCAAGTAGCGCACTGGCGATGTTCAAATAGGGTATACGAATGTGTGGGAAAATGTTAGGAAAGTTTTGGACCGAAACTGGAATTTTAAAACTTCTTTTCAAGGTCCAGTCGCGAAGTAAGTCGAAGGTGAAAATAACATGACTGCATCCAAAAAAAATTAGGACAGAAAAAAATTGCTTCCTCCCATTTAGTGCAGACAACAGCAGAACCTTTTCCATAAAATGTTGGGGTTGAGGCTTTGTACCACCCTCTCTTCTGAATTTGTGCCACCCTCTCTTCTGAAAACTACTGCTCTGACAGTGACTATTGCACAAGGAAGCAATATCACAACAATTAGACCTGGAACGTGTGCGGTGGTACCGAGACTCTCATTTTACTGGGCGGAGCTGTTTTGACACAACCATTCAGCGCTTCTCCAGATGTAGAATGCCACCTTGTATAACGGGAGCGAGGCGAAACGGCAATCGTGAGGGAGACTGAAAGCTACCAGTCGAGATTCTCAAGGGTCAAGATCACATGTTGAAGATAACGGTTGTTCACAGTATCACAGAATAGGGTGCAGCTTTGAGTGTACACCCTTCCGTAGTGTTACCCACACTTTCCAACACGGGAGCATTGACTGTACAGGGTTTCCTCCTTTTCTCTATGCCATTAGCTGTTCCAAAAGCCATTTTCTGAAATGTTAGGGTGTTAGGGTATAATATTCAAAAAATTAGAAGTAACTCGCTCTCATGCATCTTTTTTCGCCGCTGGTAGGCCCCAGCATTTTTTATTGCTTCCTTCATGCTAGCTTGTGGAAACGCTATTGTATTATTCGGTATTCGTATTTTTTGTGGTTTCTATCTTCTACCTCATTTCCTCTCTTATCTTATTCATTCGAACGCTTCTGTAGTGTACGATATCTGAAGACACCAGCCATAGAATGTTCGCAGCAAGTTGGTACCCTTGAACTACTTCTTCGGCCTTGATATTGATCACTTCAGATTTTCGGAAATGTAGCTGATCTTATAAACCCGAGGCCTTTGAAGAAAAAAGCCGCATAAGATTAATATCGCGACTTATTATCGCGATATTAATCTTATGCGTTATTTACCATTTTCCTTGACACATTCTAAAAGCGGTTCCCTGCCGGTAAGCATGTGAGAAAAGTTTTGTACTTGTCAAGATGTATACGCATATTTTACCTATACTTCTCGTACTAGAAGACAACTTCTGAGAGCTAGTCCCCCTGATCAAGCTTGCTAAGGAAGCCGATATAAACGGAGGAATGGAGAGAACAGGTTTCAAAATGCTTTATTACTGTGGCCAGTTAGGAAACGCTTGCTTCATCACTTTTCTTAGCTATTCTTTTTTCCTTGCGCACGGTAATCAAGCTTCTGATACAACTCGCTGAATGGATGGAGCTAGGGGAGATTTTCTTTTCACATTGTTCAGCATAAAATGTGCAATCCTTCTGTAACGTTGTTGAACAATTCGTGTCTTGAGTGATGTAGGTGGTTCGTAATATCCCTGTTATGGGCTCTGTCGATGTTTATATTCTGAACCTTTCCCAAATCTTTATCTAGATTTTTATCGTATGAAGAGTCACAAAGATCGCCATGAGTATGACCTAGGAAGTGATCCCCGACACTCTACCACACAACCAGTCGGGCTTGAGCGGCATCATGTGGCGCTCTCTGTAGTTTGATGCCTTGACAGACTGCTTCGTTTAATATATTAGGTTGGAAGGAAAGTCCTGTCAGTGTTTTTTGAAAAGCCTACACTTTTCGGTTCTTGATGCTCGAACATGGCGTAACATGCCATGCTTGTAGAACATTCTAGGAGCTTTCCTGCAAGAGTTGTGTGAGGGCGCCTGCACTTTCCTGGGTCTAATTACGATGTCAGTTTCACAGGAGCATCTTCGGGTCATCATGTTCTATCAGTGGCCCCGCGGCACTGGAGCAGCGGCAGCTGTCAACATCAGCAGTGCATTGGCGGAGGACACCACTACCATCATGACTGTCCATCTTTGGTTCGCTCGCTTCGCGAAAGGAGACACGACCCTCGAAGACAAACCTCGGTTGGGACGGCCCACGAAGTGGAAGACTCCACCATTCTCGAAGCTGTCAAGGAGGATCCGGAGGTTACCACCCGCAGTCTTGCGACAAGACTCGGATGTACCTAACTGACAGTCGTCAACCGCCTGTAAGCCCTTGACTACCGAAAGTACTGGCTCGATGGATCACTCATACCTTGACCGATGGCACGCTGTGCACCCGGGTACCCCTTGGTCAGTCTCCCCTTCTCCGCCCTCGTCAGAAGGTGTTTCTGGGAGACTGCTTGTGGAGATGACAGATGGGTCCTCTATGATTTCAACCCACACAGTACCGTTTGTCTCTCTCAAGGAGAAGATCCATTCTAGCAGTCCAAACCGGGCATGTATTCCGAGAAGGTTCTCCTGTGCTGCTCCTGGGACGCGAGGGGAATGCTGCACAACGAGCTGCCCTGTAAGAACACACAGTTCGCTCAGCTCCACAAAACCCTGGAAACTTTGGAGAAAAATGACCGAGACTAGCTTCGGGGCACCTCGTTCGTAGTACGCGAGACCCCATACCTGCTATGGAGACCTACCAAATAATTGAGGAGCAAGGCTGGGAGACCAGTCCCCGCTCATCATATTCTCCTGACGTAGTCCCTAAGACTGC